CCGGGCTGGGGATTCAAACCCGCCACCTTAGGTGTACGTGGCTGGCACCTTAGCCGGTTGAGCTATAGGCGCCGAGCCACACATACTTTTTACATATGATCTCGAATCTCTGTGGCAACTCTGCAAAGCACTGTCATCATCACCATCCCCCTTGCCAATGAGCAGAAACACCCAGGCTCTGTCCCTGCACCTTCAGCCCATGGAGAGTCTGACCACCTGACTCAGGTCTGTTTGTGGCCAAAGCCCACATGTTCCCACTACATTACACCTATTCCCCCTGCAATGGAGTGCATAATTCAAACATTCAGGTGTCTATTCTGAACAATTTACCTGGTTCTCAAAAGGAAATAAAATAATAAAAGACACATCTGTAGTAAGTACAGACCTCCTAGCCTGGCCCCTACCTCACAAATGGTCATCTTTCTTCCCATGGGTCACTGCCAGTGACCAATTTGCTCCCTCGGGTGGCGTAAGAATGAATGATGTCCAATTCTACTTCCCCAATGACGATGCCACCTGCTCCTGGTCTGAGATGGTCTGGGCCAGTCTGAGAGAGACCATGCAAATAATTCCCACACTTGGAAAAATAAACAGTGAGGGCTAAGCTAACCTTCAGCCAGGACCTCAAATTCTTCTCGGTCAATGTGAGCCAGCTCAGGACCAGCTGCGGGTCACTCTCCCCGGCTGGTCCTTCTCAGACTCCTTCGGTGCCTGCCCTGCTTCCTGCCAACCTTTAAACATCCACCAATTGCACCTTTTGTCCGCTTGCTTCTCAGGGGATCACATCTGGCTTCACTGCTAGAAATGCTGTCTCTCCCCTGGTGACGTCCACATTTGACCCATCCCCTGAACTCCTGACACATCAATCTGATGCTGCTCCTTTCTACATAGGTGAGTAATATGCATCTCAAACTCGACATGCTCACAGCAGAACTGATGATTTCTGCCCCCGGACCTGCTCTTCCCACAGCTGTCCCCATCGCTATAAACTGCAATTCTCTCTTGCCAGGCTGCTTGGGCCAAAAACTCTGGAGTCACCTTGAGGCCTCTTGGGCCTTCACATGCCAAATCCCATCTATCAGCAGATCCTCCTGGCCCCACCTTCAAAGGACTTCCAGACTCAGCCACCCCACCGTGGTGACCCTGTCCAACTGTGACCATCTCGCCCCTGGACTGTTGGTAACATCTCTCGGCCCTTTCCTTCCCACAGTTGACTGTGGCTGGAACCCACACCTGCCAATGCTGTCCTCCTCATGCAGAATAAAAGGCGGTTCCCTCAGAACGATCTACAAGGCTTTGCATGATCACCTGCCCCTGGTATCTCTCTGCCCGTATCTCCTCACCCCTTCACTCCACTTCATACATACTGGCTTCCACACTGCTCTACACTCACACCTAGCGGGATCCTGGCCCAGGGCCTTTGCACTGCTATTCCTCCTCTCTGGAATGTGCTTCTTCCAGGCAACCAAAAATATGATTTTTTCATCTTATCAGTGAGGCCTTCTGATCTCATCTGCACAGCGCTGGCGCTCTCTCCCTCTTATCTCGCTTTATTTTTCTTCAAAGCACTCCACGGCGCCTGATGCAGCACACGTTTGTTCATGGTCCATCTCCTCCCACTAGGATGTAAGCGTCAAAGGGCAGGGGTTCTGCTCTGTTCTGCTCAAGGCTGTACTCTCTGTACTCAGAACAAAGCCCAGCACGTGGCACAGGCTCAGTAAACATTTGCTGAATGAATGAAATGAGTCTATATTAACAAACATTCATGTTCGTGTCAGGAAGAAGGCATACAGTTACAAAGTAATTCTAACACAGACAAACACAAATTTGACCAAAAGAGCCAGACATATACTAAGCTGTCAGTTTATACTATAAACTTTATAGCATTAGGAAGAGAGATCTGTGACCTCTATGGGGCTTGTTAATCTCAAAATTCTATGAAAGACGTTGTTAAAAAAGAAACCTGATGTAAGATAAGGTTGCGTAGAACCAGAATAGTTGCTTTTTGAGGGAAGTATTACCGCCCTGCTAACAGACCACTAAATCAGCGGTCTCCAACTGCAATGCACATGGAGAGTCTCAGGCCACATTCTCAGCAACTGTTTCAAAATACCCAGGCAGGACAGGGACTTCGTATCTTAATCACTCACCCCAAGAGGTTCTGAAGTACTTTCAGAAACGTTCATTAGGGCCATGCTGTCCAAAGGGGGACCCGTGAACTACTGAAGACCTCTTTACTGTTAATTAAGGCCAAATACAAATTTAGTTTGAGGGGTATGTTGGTGACATGTGGCTAGGTATCCCGCACAGCACAGAGAAAGAACATTTCCAGCAGTGCATCAAGTTCTTTTAGACGGGTGGTTCTCAACCTGTGGGTCGCAACCCAAAGGAACTGTATTAAAGGGCCGCGGCATTAGGAAGGTTGAGAGCCACCGTGTTAGACAGTCCTCCCTACAGAATGTTTTTCTCCAAACTGGCTTTCTAAGAAGTAGGTTACATAAGTGTAATCTTCCAGCCCCCTAATTAGACCTTGGAGACACCTAACTAGACAATTAAATTTCCCTGCAGGAGTTTTCCCTTCTTACTTCTATAACATTTCCCACCTGCAAGAGAGTGAGGCCCTGATCCTGGGCAAGAGCTGGAGGCCTGGGTGGTTGTGTCCATTTCCACTCACCTTCTTTCCTGTCCATGTCCACTCTCTGATAGGGATATGCCCGAGACCAAGGCACTGGGCAGCTGCCCCACTCCTGGCTTGGAAGGTGCCAGCAGCCACCACTCTAAGACTTCATGCTAACCGCCTTCTCTGCCTGCTTCCCTCAGGGACCTGGGGCAGCAGGAGGCCAACTTGTGGGTGAGGCGAAGTTTTTGTTACCCTTTAAATTCTTGTGGGCTTTTATCATTCCTGCAATTGTTCTCTTATCCATCCTGTCTTCTCTTCTGAAGCCTGTCCTTTTTTTTTTTTTTATAATTTCATAGAACGTAGGATTTATTAACTTTCATACGGTTTCACACCAAAGCAGAACCTCAAATTTCTCTTTCATAAACTTTTTAAAAAAAAATTTTTATTAAATCATAGCAGTGTACATTAATACTATCATGAGGTACAGTGTACTGTTTCTGTATACAATTTGAAATACTTTCATCCGACTGGCTAACATAGCCTTCATGTCTTTTTCTTAGTTATTGTGTTAAGACATTTATATTCTACATTTAGAGAGATTCACATATACCCTTATAGGATGAACCATAGGCATGATCCCGCCAGTCACCCTCCCTCCACCCACCCTCCCTTCTCAGTTCCCCTCCCTCTCCCCTCTCCCCATATTCCTGGGCTAAAATTGGGTTATAGTTTTCCTGTGAAAGCTATAAATTAGTTTCATAGTAGGGCTGAGTACATTGGACACTTTTTCTTCCATTCTTGGGATACTTTGCTAAGAAGTGAAGTCTGTCCTTGTACGTGGAACTTTCCTGGCTGGGGCAGATGCTGGAAGCTGGGTAGGGGTCAGGGTTAACATCTTCAGGACTGGCCAAAGGATGGGAGAGATGGGCAAAGGTAACGAGAGGCAGTGACATGGGTGGGGTGGGCAGCTACTGTCCACACATCTGACTGCTGCTGGCCTGGGAGACAGAGACCTTATTTCTAGTCCCGACTCTGCCACAGGCTTTAAGTGGATAAGCCAGGACCTCCTTGTGCCCAGCCATCTGTGAGACTGACTACCTCACAACACACCCACTCGCACATTTAGTGAGCACCTGCTGTGTGCCCATCCAGCCCTGTGCCAGCAGAGGGGAAACTCTACCCTTGCTGCCCTCCAGAAGCTCACACTTTAATGGACAACTCATCATCTAACAGTTACAACTATTTTAAAAAGATGAAACCTGCTGTGGGCTCTAATGAAGTGGGTATGGTACACCACAATCCAAGAACCAGCTCTGCTTCAGGAAGGGGACCAGGATGTCACAGAAGCACTGACATCTGAGGCATAAAGAAGGGGGGAAAGACCTTGCAGGCAGAAATGAGACAGGGGTGAGGTTCTTGAGTATTTACAGTCCAACCTCAGCATAGAAGATCTGAAATCTCAAGCTTTCATTTTAAAATAATATTTTCCCTCTATTTCTAGGCATCTGCCTAGAAGAAAAAAAATTACTTTATTTGTAAGGATATTTGTACCTGAATGTTTATCGCAGGTCAATTCACAATGGCAAAGATGTGGAAAGAACCCAAGTACCATACACTTACGAATGGGTTAATATGCTCTGGCATGTGTACAGCACCGGATCTTATTCAGCCATAAAAAAAGAGGGAGACATCTTCTGTATTTACCTGGATGGATTTGGAGAGCACGCTCCTAAGTATCACAAGAATGGAAAAGCAAGCAGCCCACGTACCCAAGAGTAGATGAACTACAGGCCCACAGGTGCGGAAAACATAATTACATTCAAGATGGGGGGAGGGGACTCAGTAAGCTCTCACCTAACACGCACAGTGTCGGGGTGTGTGGCGCCCTCCTGGGTGAAGGGCTCAACGACAACTTGGACTTTACCTAACAAAAGCACTGTAACCTAATTGTATGTACCCTTATATAAGGCAAGACATGAAGACTATTTCTTAGGAGCATTAATTCAGAACAAAAAGTGGAGAACTTACGTTAACTTTAAAGGTCTGTACCAAGCCATCTAAAAAGCGGATGCTGCAGACAATTTCAGACCGAGTTTTCTCTTTGGGGAGTTCTGAGGTGCGTATGTTATTAATTCTTCCACCCAACGCACGTAACCGGGAGGTCATAACTATCGTTGAATAACCTGTAACATAAGATATACTGTTAGTGCTTCCAGATGCAAATTACCATGACCTGTGATCGTGGAGACCTGTCTGATTTGATCTTCTCAGCACCAGCTGAGGAACTCCCAGGTAATGAGAACCAGGTAACAGATCTTGTTTCCATTTGAGTCTTGACTTCTAAGATGCTCTAAAGAAAATTTATTGCTCAATTACCACGTTCACGGAAGACTGCATGGGTTATCCGTGTGTCTTATTATCTCCTGGTCTAAGTCTTCTGATTTATATTTCCCAGGCTGGTCAATTTGTATTTATGTTTTTCTATGTTATGTATTTTTTTTTTTTTTTT